ACTCTGGGAAGAACGCCGGGGCTTGACCGGCATGGGAGGGTGCTGCTGGACACCAGACCCGGCCCCCTTGTCATTGACGAGGCTGATGTATGGGGTGCGGGTGGCCGGGACTGAAACTAAGGTGAGAGGTTCAGGTGTGTAGGCTTCATATGGGTTCTGACCTCCCTCAAAAGGTCTCTCTGAAAAAAAAAAAAAAAAAAAAGGTCTCTCTGGGTCTGCGAGGCAACAGACAGACCTCGAACGATTAAAATGGGGGCATTTGATCCAGCATTCGATGCTGGCACTATTTTAAAGTTCCTTTCGGGGAGGGGTGGGTCAGGGGCCTGTGATCCTGCCCCCCTAGGCCCCGGGGAATTTTTTTTAAAAAAGATGCAAGCTCCAGGCAGTGTTACCCCAGTGGCTAGCACATGGTCCATTGGAGCCTGGATGTTCCCTGTACCACCTGTGTGACCTTGGGTAAGTCACTTCCCCACTCTGTGCCCTGGGCCCCCATCTGTAAAATGAGGACAACACCAGCAGCTACTCTGTGGGGTGGTTAGAAGGATCAAGTGAGTCACTGCTGAGTACAAGAGCATTAGTGTTAGAAGCCACCAAACTCTGTTAAGATCCTAAAACTCCGTGCTGATTGGGACTGTGTTCATTTGCTGGGGCTGCTGAAACAGCGCACCACGAACTGGGGTGGGTGGGGGCTTCAGAAACAGAAGCGCATTTGCTCACAGTCCCGGGAGCCGGAAGTCTGAGATCTGGATGTGGGTTGAGTTGGTTCCTTCCGAGACTGAGGGAGAACCTGGTTCAGGTCTCCACCAGCTTCGGGGGGCGGTTTGCTGGAAGCGCCTCCTGTTCCTTGGCTTGTCGATGCATCACCCGGACTCCTGCCCTGCCCTCACAATCGTGTGTCTGTGTGCCCACATTTCCTCCTATTGTAAGGACACTAGTCCCTACGGCATGGGGGCCAACCCCCCTCCGGCACAGCCTCCCCTGAACTCCTCGCATCCGCAATGGCTCATTTTCCAGATAGGATCCCACTGTGGGGTCCTGAGGGGTTAGGACAGCCGCATATGAATTTTGGGGAGCGGGGACCCAGTTCAGCCCCAACAGGAGCTGAAAAGTCAAGGCTGTATTGACCCAGAAAAGGGTAAACATCACACATTCTCCCCCCAACTAGAAAAGAGAAAATGAAAAGGTCAGGAAGAGAGAGCCCGTCAAGAGAACAGGCGAGCGTTTCAGCACCGGGGACAGTGGCACACAGTTGGGGCTTGTCCCTGGGGCTGCAAACCTTCGGGGCCCAGAGGCTGATGGTCTCGAAGGTCGCCGGGGGTCGGGGGGGGGTGGTGAGGGGGGTGTCCTACCCCGGCCTCGGGGACCAGCGCACTCCCGTGTTCTGCAAATGAGGCCTCGTGGGCAAGAAGGGGCCCAAGGAGGAAGGGTTTTGCCTGGATTGTACATCTCCCCTGGGGTCCAATTTCTTGCTGGCTCCACCTAATTTCTCTCAGGCCCTAGGCTAGCTGTCTTCACGCCTCCCCTTTCCCTGAAAACCTTGAGGGATTAAATTCAGAAAATAGGAACCCTGAAAAAAAAAAAAAGAGTAGAAGGACCGGCCACGGATTGGGGAAAGACGCGTGCATCCCATGTAGCCATAGAGGAACACGAGATATTCTTTATTTGCACAGCACATATAGAACTGCTACAAAGCAGCAAGGTGCCCCATCTAATTAATAACCATAGAAAGGTATGTGACCATCTCCATGAAATAGAGTGATGCACCCTCCCCCGCCCCCCACAACGACTGACATTTAAAAGGCCGGCAAATGAAGCATTGATACCGTCAGACCCGTTGGCCGGAGAATTCTTTGGTGCAACCCGCTTTGGGAAAACGGTCTCTGGAAGAACCAGTCAAAGCTGATGACCATAAGCCTACCTCATAACCAGCAATCCCACTCCTGGATCTGCCTTTGTGCCTCAAAGCACCTATGTCAGAAGCGCTCCGCAGCAGCCCTATTCACGATCGCGCCTAACAGTGGGCGCCCCGGATGCCCACCCACAAGAGAACGGAGAGCGGAGAGCCCGCCTGTGGCATATTCGCGGGATAAAACACGACACAGCTACCCGAGGAAATTAACCCCCGATACACACCACCACCTGCTCTTGGGTAGCAGAAGCCAGACACAAAGTGTGCGTATGCTCCCATCCCCTTTCTGTAAGTCCAGAGGCAGGAAGGACTCAGCTACGTTGACGAGTGACACCCACACGGGACGGGAACCCCTAATGAGAAAGGAACCACGTGGTTATCATGGGAGCCAGAGTAGCAGACACCTCTGGGGGGTGGAGGGGATTCTCATGGGGTGGGAGGCACGGGGGCTTCTGGTGGCTGCCCAGTCCTATTCCTTGACCTGGGGAAACAGTTAACAGGATTTTATAATTATTTGTTACATTGTACACTTACATGTTCTGCACCTTTTTTTGAGAGGGGAGTATGTTTTTAATATAGCCCGATGACAATTTTTTTTATTGTGGTAAAATACTCATAACATTAAAATCACCATCATAACCATTTTTCCCCCAAAACATTTATTTATTTTTAGAAAGGGAGGGAAGGGCAGAGGGAGAGAGACTCTCAGGCAGACCGCCTGGCGAGCGCGGAGCCCTTTACGGGGCTCCGTCTCACGACCCTGAGACCATGACTTGAGCCCAAGACAAGACTTGACTTGGACATTCACCTGACTGAGCCACCCAGGCGCCCCCTCCATTCTGTTTTTAACTGCGTATCTCAGTGGCATCAAGCACACTCACCCCACCCTGCACCCACCCCCACCACCGTCTCCAGAACCTTCCATCTCCCCACACTGAGACCCCATCCCCAGGAACCACTGACTCCCCCCACCCCCCTCCCCACCCCTGGCTCCCACCACCTCCTCTCTGTCTCTGTGGATGGGCCTCCTCTGGGGACCTCCTGGGAGTGGGGTCCTGCAGGAGGCGTCCTTCTGGGCCTGGGTCCCCTCCCTGAGCCTGGTGTCCTCTGGGTCTGTCTACGTGGTCACATGGGTCAGAATTATCCACTTCTTAAGGCAGATTAATACTCCGGTGTATGAATGGGCCGCATTCTGCTTATCCATGCATCTGCGGATGGACACTTGGACTGTTCCACCTTCTGGCCGTTGTGAACGATACCGCTGTGAATATGTGTAAATCTGAAATATCTGTTTGAATCCCTGTTTTCAATTCTTTTGGGTATAGACCCAGAAGTGGAATTGCTGGATCATATGGTAATTCTATGTTTAACTTTTTTGAGGAGCCGCCAAACTGTTTTCCACAGGGGCTGCACCATTTCACATTCTCACAACAAATTTTTTTTTAAATGCTAAAAACCCATCCTCAGCTCTGCCTGCTGGCCTCCTCCCCCAGGGCTCTGGGGGAGCCTCTGGGGGGCCCGAGGCAGACCCCTCCCCATCAGTCGGCCCAGGCGGTGGGAGAGGCGGCGTGGTGAGCACGTCCCAGAAGGAAGGACATGGCTTTAATTAGCTCCTGCCTGGAGCAAAAATGAGCACCAGGAAGCTGTTCCCAGGGCCTCTGCACAGGGGGTCCTCGGGGGAGGGAGAGGCAGAGAGACTGTAGGGAGGGAGGTGGGGGTGGTGGACACAGGGTCCAGCAGCATCCGAGCAGCCAATGATGGGCTCGTTGCACACGCAGTGAAAGTGAGGCAAGGCCCAGGGCTAAGGCCTAGTCCCCTGGGTCCATCCAAGGGGACCTGGCAGACCTGGCACCTGCCTGCCCTCCACACCCCGCTTCAGGCAAACATCTTTCAAGTACCTCTGATCTCCTCGGTCTTTCTCTGGGGGCTTCTCTGTCCTTGCTCCTCTGTCTCTCTCAATGTCTCTTGTCTCTGCAGTTCTCCCGCTTCCCACCGCCTCCCCCCCCAGCCCCACCCCAAGACACCCTCCCTGTCCTTGTCCATCGCACCCTGGCTCTGGACCACATCGGGGCTGGCCGGCCCCTCCTCTCCTGATTGGCTCTGCCCTTGGCCACTGCACCACACCCTGTCTAGCTCCAACCCCACCCCTGGCCCGTCCTTCCCCACTGGACCACCCTCTCTGATGGGGCAAACCGAGGCCCAGAGAGGGGTGTTGCCCCATTCAAAGCCACTGGCTCCTCTTCTGCATCTTTGAGGCCGCTGGTGCGCCCCCCACCCTCGTCCCTGAGGCAGCCGACCCCTCCCCCACCGCACCTCACCCAGCCTTCCCCGTATCTCTTTATCTAGCAGCAGCCACGGATTTAATTAACAGCTGGGTCTCCTCTCCCCCTCCCCTATCTCGCCGTTTGGGTGGGGGGCGGCTGAACCATGGCTGTTGTCCCCCCACATCCTCAAAAAAGTTGGCTTCCATCTCCTCTGCTTACCTTTAACTTGTATTTTAAAAGAACATAAAATCTACCATCTTAACCAATTTTTCCTTTTCTATTTTTTAATTTTTTTTATTTTTTTATTATTTTTTTATTATTTTTATTTTATTTTATTATTGTGATGAAATAACACATAACATTAAATTCACCGCCTTAACGGTCTCTAAGTGCACAGCTCAGGGCACGAAGCATGCTCACCCCGATGCATCCACCCCCCCCCACCGTCTCCAGAACCTTCCATCTCTCCACAGGGACTACCCCCTGCCCCACCCCTGGCTCCCACCACCTCCTCTCTGTCTCTGTGGACGGGCCTCCGCTGGGGACCTCCTGGCAGTGGGGTCCTGCGGGAGGCGTCCTTCTGGGTCTGGGTCCCCTCCCAGCATGGTGTCCTCAGGGTCTGTCCACATGGGGGCAGGTGTTGGGCCCCTTCCTTCCTGGGGCCAAATAACATTCCAGCGTGTGGATGGGCCGCGCTGTGTTTATCTGTCCATCCACTGATGGACACTTGGGTTGCTTCCACCTTCTGGCCATTGGGATCGATGCCACTGTGATCAGGGGTCTACACATCGCTTTCTCTTAACACCCCCCATTTCCTTCCTTTCCAGGCTGTGCCTTTCTCACCTATTGTGCCAGGGACTCCGCCATCAAAGCTCAGACTGCCCTGCACGAACAGAAGACCTTGCCCGGGGTGAGTCCTGAGTCCTGCCTGGGGAGGGGGGAGAGGGGAGGGGGAAAGGGACTGCTCTCAGCCCCGGGAAGCCTGAGGCCCTTCCTGGGATCAGCTGTGAAGCCCACATGCCTCTGGACTCAGAAAGAGGTATAAGGTGCAGAGAGATGGAAATGATCACCGGAGAGAGCATTTATTGAGTGCCTACTGCATGTCATGGTCCATACTTCATAACAGAGTGGTTGTGTGGGGCTGTGCAGCTTGCATACTGCCCAAGGCCACCTGGCCCGGTGTGTAAGTGTTGTTGCGGTGAGGCCTGAAGGATGAGGAAGCACTAGCAGACAAATGGAACAGCCCATGCAAAGGCCCTGGGGCAGGACCAGGCTTGGCGTGCTGCAGGACCAGCAAGGAGGCCTCTGTGTCTGGAGCAGAGGAAGCAAGAGGGAGAGAAGGAGAAGGGAAGGGCAAGGAGGAGACAGGGCAGGCCATAGGGAGCCTTTAGGGCCACCAGGAGGAACTCAGGCTCTGCCTGCTTCTCCCTATATAATGGAAAGGGATTTACTTATCCCTGGTCTCTATCCCACAGCAAATAGAGCTGTAGCCCTTGATGCAGGGGCTGCCTGGACAGCTTTTCCATCCCCAGGGGAGGTTGGCCCAGGCCCCAGCCCTGCTGGCTCTCCCTTGTGAGGAGGTCCCTGTCCCCTGAGCCAGCTGAGCCCAGGCCCCAGGCCGTGTCTCTTGATGGAAATGAGAGGAACCGTAGTGAGATCCGTGGCGCCCCATGAGCCCTGGGGGTGTTCACTGGTCCCTCTGGGATTCTCAGGGAGGGACTGCTCAGCATCGGAGGCATCCGGGGGCTGCTTGGGTGGCATCTGCAGCCACAGATGCTGGGAACACGGGTGCAGCACGGCTGGCTGGGCAATGGGGGGCGCACCTGGCTGGGATGTGAGATCGTGGCATGGGCAGACTTGATTCTGAACGAGGCTCAGAGATGCTCCCGGGGCTGGCCTCAACCTCAGGGTGAAGGATAACGGGCCCTGTTGGGGGGGGGCGGCGAAGTGGAGACGAGCGTGGTGGAGGGATGTGGCGGCCACACCGGCGGGCTCCTCACTGAGCTCCAAGCAGCCCTTGCCGTGTGTCCGTGAGCCAGTGACTGAGCCTCCCCGATCTTCAGCACTGGAGGAGCACAACAGCGCGGAGTGGAGGGAGGAAACTGTAGAGAAGGTGGTCAAGGAAGGCTTCACGGAGGAGGTGACATCTGAGAAGAGAATTCACAGTTTTCCCTCCCTCGGCCCTTGTGCTAGCACCTCCCCAAACCAACCGGCCCGGAACTGGAGGGCAGGTGCATCCATACCGGTTAGCGCCCAGGGAGGGGTGGGGGGAGCAGTGGAGCTCAGTGGGCTGTATTAGTTCTCTCCTGCTGCCTGGCAATTACCCCACAGCCTGGTGAGAGGAGCCCGGGGGGCGTTGGGCATCTAGACCAACAAACCAGTTTGTACTGGATTCGTCCAGAGTCGAGCCGCCAGCAAACAGCAGGATGGGGATTTGACCCCAGACCCCGAGCGGCGGACGTGCGCGTGTCTGTGGTCAGATTTGGGCTGGACGCTCGGAGGGTTCTGTCCAGGGAAACCCGCCGCTTCGCGGACCTGCTGACCCCAGTCGTGCCCCAGCCGAGCCCCAACTGGTTCCCCCCTGCTCCCACCTTCCTGATGGAGACTCAGACCCGAAGCCAGCCTCTGTTCCCGACCCGAGCCCCAGCTCCCTCTGTGCTGGGGGCCGAAGCAGGGCTCTGGGCTCCATCCGCGGCCGGGAGGGAAGACAAAGAAGGTGGAGGTCTCCCCCTAGGTTGGGGGCCCCTCTAGGGCAGACCCCGGGCCGAGTCCTCAGCACCCACTGGTTCATTCAGCAGACACTGAGCCCCCGATCTGTGGCTGGGGGGAGCCCAGTACAGATAATGAATGAGCAACCAGCCCGGCGAGAGGACTTCTGGTGCTGAGGGCAGCATGGAGCTGAGACACGGGGACACTTTCGGTGCCACTTGCAGACTCAGGATGGCGATTCAAGTCACAGGGGGTGCTCGCGGATGCCCCTGCACAGGGCGGCAGGGCCGAGGGACAGCAGGGAGCTGCAGTGGCTGGGGCCGGGGCAGCGGAGGGTGAAGCAGGGGGTTTGAGATGCTTGAGGAGCAAGGCTTTCCTGGGGCAGGAGTGACAGGGGCTGGTTGTCACCCCGCGGGAGGGGCCCCCCCTCCGCTGTAACAAAGCACCATCCGCAGGAGGGGGCTTAAAGCGACAGAGATTTACCCTCTCACAGCTCGGGGGGCCAGGAGTCTGAAATCAAGGCGTCAGCAGGGCCACGTTCCCTGTGGAGGTTCCAGGGGGGGAATCTGTTCCCCCGTCTCTCCAGCTTCCGGTGGCGCCGACAATCCTTGATGTTCTCTGGCTCGATGATGACGCATCCGTCCGATCCCTGCCTCTGTCACCACATGGCCGCCCTCCGTGTCTACACGGCTCCCCCCTCCCTCTGCCTTTCTCTTATGAGGACTGTCACTGGGCTGAGGGCTCGCCCTAAAGCCAGGATGACCCCATCCCGAGATCCATGGCTTCATGACATCTGTAAGGAGGGACGCCTGTTCCAAATGAGGTCCCGTTCATGGGTTCCAGGCTTAGGACTTGGGTGTATTGGAGGGGAGCCCCCCACCACCACCGGTCCCATTCAACCCGCCATAACGGACGAGCACAAATGAACAGCGGGTATAGGGCAGCCAGGGGCAGCATCACGGCGGGACGGGGGGGGGGGGCCTGCGCTGCCACCGTCACCCATGACTTCCTCGCGGCAGCGGGGCAAACAAGGCGGCTTCTTGGAGGAGGGAGCGTTCGAGCTGCATCTTCAGAGATGGGGAAGACTGTGGCAGATGGAGGTGGGGGTGGCGTGGGGACCGAGTGTGCCGAGACTGGGAGGTAGGAACGTGCCAGGCGCATTCCGAGTGCGGGAGCCCAGCAGAGCCCCCGTTGTCTAAAGGAGGAGTTCACGTGGGGTCAGAAGGGGGCTCAGCCCAGGCGGGGGGCGCGATTGTGCCCCCACAGGACGCCGGGCGACGCCTGGGGGACGTTCGTGACTGTCATGATGATTGGCATCCAGTGGTCAGGAGAACAAGGAGCTGGCGAATGTTCTAGAGCAGTGCTCATAGCCATGCAGTGCAGGCCACGTAGAGCATTTACATTTTTCCGGGAGCAACATTTAAAGATGAGAGAGGAACGGGCGCAGTTAATTTTCATGCTAGATTTCACGTGAACCCCCCACCTCTCCAAAATAGCATCATTTCAGCAGGCGGACCGTGTAGTTAGGGAGAGCCCACGTTCCTCTTTCCCTCGCGGGCGCCCGCCCCCCGGTGTGTGTCCTGCCTCCTCTCAGGCCACCTCAGGTTGGACGATCAGTTGTCACCAGAAATGCTCGATGTGCCTCTGCTCTTTGCCCTCCGTGACAGTGGCCGTCGGAAAACTAGGTTCTCACGCCCGCTTGCTCGAAGCGTACTTAAAAGATTTCCCAAGCACGGCGTCACGAACCGGCTCTCGGATTCGGGTTTACACTTCCACGAATTATCATTAGACAAAATTTAAGCTTCTGTTCCTCGGCCACACAAGCCACATTTCGAGGTGCTTGATGGCCACATGTGGCCATATCGGACAGTATTGTTCAAGAATGTTCCAGGCCGGGAGTCTGCACACTCCTAAAGGAACCTAAAGGATCAGAGAGTAAATATTTGGGGCCTCATGGGCCATAGGGCCTCTGTTGCATCACAGAAAAGAGACCACAGACAATACTTAACTGAATGGGTGTAGCTGTGTATCAATAAAACTTTATTTACACAAAGAAACAGAGGCCCAGACTGCAGCTGGCAGATCCCTGTTTCAGACCATTGTTGTCCAGTAGAATTCTCCACAGTGATGGAAATGTTCTGTCTCTTGCTGTCCCCTTTGGCGGCCACTAGCCTCTTGAGCCCCTGCAATGTGGCAAGTGTGACTCTCAGGAGCAATTTCTTTTTTTTTTTTTTTAAGATTTTATTTATTTGTGAGAGATACACACACACACACACAGAGGCAGAGACACAGGCAGAGGGAGAAGCAGGCTCCATGCAGGGAGCCTGATGTGGGATTCGATCCCAGGACTCCAGGGATCAAGCCCCGGGCTGAAGGCAGGTGCTAAGCCGCTGAGCTACCCAGGGATCCCACAATTTCTAATGTCACTCAGTCTCAACACGTTTACATGTAGACCTAGAAAACCCGCCACAGGTGGCTAGTGGCTACCACATGGAACAACTCTAACCCAGAATGTTCTAGATCAAGGGCTCAGCTACGATGTTAGACAGAATGTTCTAGACGGGGGGGGGGGGTGTTACCTACTGTATTGGCAAGTTCAGACCTAGAAAATTCTGGCCTAGGAGGTAGCTACTGTTTGGGGTATAGCACAGATGTAGAATGTTCTGGTAGCTGTAGAAGGATCAGCTACCATGTAAGACAGTGCAGGCCTAGAATGTTCTAGACCCAAGAGCATGAGGCAGTGCCATCATATGTCTAGATTGTGGAGTTTGGGGGTCTCACTTGGATGATACCAGCTCACGGTTGGAGGGGGAGAGGGAAGAGTCTCCAGCAACACCCAGAAACCATCCCTATCATGTGCTCAAGCCTGTGCTGTCACTCTCCCGACTTTCAGGGTAATCAACCCCTGCTTCTCGTCACGTTCTTCGCCCTTGTGAATAGATCTCTAAGATATTGGGCGGCTTTTCCCCGTCTTGCTTGTTACCTAGTATGAATGGAACCGTGTTATATGTAGTCTTTACCATCTGCGTGGTTTTTTCCCCCGTAATACGATGCTGAAGAGATTCGGTATCACCTGCTGGTGCCACGTGCCTGGGTGGCTGGGGCCTTTTCATCCCTGGGTAGTATTCCACGGCGCGAAGACGCAACGTATTTGTCCATTCTCCCATCGGTGGACATTTGGGTTGTTTCCAGGCTTTTGCT